AGGAGAAACAGGAGAACAGAATATTCTTAATTGGGCTGCTAATAAGTTGACCGACGGTCTTAAATCTTTAGGTTCTCGTTTCACGGATAGTGTAGGACTCTCGAAACTTTTGTTTGGTAGAGGAGACAGAATTGGAACAGGAACAGGAGCAGGAACAGCTGGATTACAGGAACTCGCCGCCAGCCTTGGATTCTCAGGTGATGAGAACAGTGCCTATAAGATTAACACATGGCAGAGCAGTGATCCTAATGATCATGTAGGAGATGTTGTATTACAGGACACCCGACAGAGCATAGCAGATGGTCTTAGAAACTTTTTGAAAATCGGACAGCATGAAGATGCCGCCAATGCCAATGGCATTGTTGGTGAATTTCTCAGATGGATTGAAGACGATGATAATTGGACTATAAAAGTGATACCAACATCTTACGGAACTAACAGTGGACAGACTGTTAGTTCAGGTAGTTATTACGAGAAAACAGGAACAAGCGGACCTTCCGTGACTGTGAAAAATCAGAGTATAGCTGACCAGTACTTAATGTGAGCGCAATTTGCGCGTGTGCGTATGAAATTCTATTTCCATGCGCGCGGCGTGAAATAAGCGAACGAAAAGCATTGGTCAGCAAAAGAGCCGCCGCAATACCTAGGCGGCTCTTTGCTTTGAGCGACAGCGAAAAGCAGACCCGTCCTTACTACATACTTGACTTTAGTAAGGACGAATGACACCCCCCCCCGACTTACTACCCGAGAGCGTAGCGGTTCGGCTTAATATCCCGACTGAAAGGAGGTATTGATTTATTTCTTACAAGCGTTATAATTATATTGCTCAAGCTAAATACTTAATTGAAAGGAGTTTCATAGATGGCTTGTTTTCACCCTATGATTGGATACAAAGGTGGTATAAACCCCGAAACAGGTAAAAACAGAATACACGTTTATGCTTGGAATGATAAAATGGCAGAGGAATTGAAGAATAATTCAGATTACTTTCCTCTGCCTTGTGGTAAATGTGTAGGCTGTAGACAGGATTACGCAAGAAAATGGACAGACCGCATGATTATGGAAATGGAAGATACAGAGCATGCATGGTTTGTTACTCTTACGTATGATAATGATTATGTGCCTAAAGTACCAGTACTTGACGAAAAAACCGGAGAGATTAAATCATGGACTCTTACTACAAGAATGGACGATGCATCTAAGTTTATGAAGCATGTTAGAAAAAGATTCCCTGCTACGATTAAGCCCGTACACTATGAAAGAGCTGCTATAGATTCAGATTATCCGATTCCCGGTATTAGATTCTTTGTAGCTTCTGAGTATGGTAGTAAGACCCTCCGTCCACATATGCACCTGATTATTTTTAATCTTAAACTCGACGAAGAACAGCTAGTATTTCTTAAGAAGGATAATAAAGGACATATTTATTACGATTGTCCCGAATTAAAAAAATGCTGGAGTAATTATGTAGGACAGGATAAACACGGTAAACCTATATTCGACCCTATAGGTAATATAATGCTATCTCCTGTGAATAATAATACGATTAACTACGTTGCACAGTATACCAATAAAAAAGCATCACAGGACTTAGCAAAGTACGTAGAAGAATTTCACCTTGAACCACCGAAAACACGTTGTTCTAGAAAACCAGGTCTTGGTTGGTATTGGTATTATAAGCATATAGACGAAGTTAAGGATTATACAGGATTCTTTGTAGGTACAGAAGATGGCTCTCGTGAGATTAATTTCCCCGATTATTTTTATAGATTACTCTCTAAAACCGATGAGGATTTCGTAGAACGCAAGAAAGCAGATAAGGCTATAGTTGGTAGCCTAGCATTCAAACGTATCACAGAAAGCATACAGAAGCCTTACAGCGAATATATGAGAGATAAGGAACTTAATTTAAGAGATGCCCTTAAACGTAAACAGGCTAATTTTACAAGAGACAAAATATAGCTTGACAAATAGTACAAAATGTGCTATATAATACTCAAGGACGATAGTATTTTTCCAAATATAACATATGAAAGGAGGACTCTATACATCTTCCGTCCTTATCATAAATGCATGAAAGGAGTGATACCCCATAAACAAATCTACAGACCGTAGTGTATTCAAAAGAACAGCACTAAAAACCCGAGAGATTAACACAGGTGTCTACATTAAACGAGGAGGAATACATTTCTAATGACACAACATGTATATGCAGTTAAAGACAATCTTAATGGATTATTTCACTTACTCTGGATGACAATGACCAGACAGCAGTCAGGAATTTTGCCTTCGCAATTCTCAATCCCGACTCCATTATGGGATTTAAGCCCGATGACTTTGATTTGTACCACATGGGAACGTTTGATTTAGAGACAGGATGTTTTACACAAGATAAAATGCCCTCCCTCGTAGTCAGAGGTTCTAACATTGCCAGTGCTTATGCAAGAAAGGACAACGATGAGTAAAAAGTATAATAAGAAACAAAAAATTTGTGTTAACTGTTATTGGTACGACCCCCGTTATCGTGATGGTTGGTGCAATTATAACTCTATAGAGTGTGAAAAAACCGACTATTGTGATTGTTACGATTTTAAGATATGAAAGGAGTGATTCAATACGTATTGTAAAGAATGTAAGTATTACATAGCCGATAAATATTATTGCAAGATGCATAATAAAGAAGACATAAAGCCCGATATGCAAGCTTGTGGTGAATTTGTAGCTATTAAACCCGAATGGAAACCTAGACAGTCACGTGCAGGTAATCCTTGGAAAATTCGTTATTCATATGCAATTACTGATAAAGGTATAGAGGTAGTAGCCGCAGGTAAGATTAATCTACAGGACTATATACAGAGCTTCGCAGATAGTGTAATATAAACTCCATTATAGCCCGTTATAAAGCCGGTGATCTTAATGCTTTAGTTGAAGGTGGAGAAGGAATGTATGGTAATTTCGTAGGTGTTCCTACAAGTATGAATGAGGTGATTAAAACTGTTCAGAGCTTTGAAAGAATCTATAACTCGCTTGCGGACGATGTTAGAGCAAACTTCTCCGATTTTGGCGATTTTATTGGAAGTATTAGTTCTCTTGACGCTGATAGTATTAAGAATATTAGAAGCAAAAGGGATACTCCCCGGCACTGAATCTGTTCAGTCCAAGTGATGTTTTAGAATGTACGAAGTTATTACATTAGACGTTGTAGTCCTCGCCGTTATAATATGGACTATCATATTTTTGTAGTTCTGACCGACATAGGCACAGACACTGAAAGGAGTGATTTATATACCTTACAATAGCGTAACTTACAGACCCTCACAGGCAGATATAGACACTAACCGTTCACAGTTTAAGATGAACCATAGTCATAAATTCAGTGGTAAAGTTGGTGATCTTATCCCGTTTCTTTGCCAGGAAATAATCCCTGGTGATACTGTTAAACTCAATACTCTAAAGTTCTTCGATTTACACCATTTATTAACCCTATTATGGATAATGCTTGGCTTGACACTTATTACTTTTTCGTTCCTAACCGTCTCGTTTGGGATCATTGGACTAATTTTATGGGTGAGAGCGAAGTAGCATGGATGCCTCAGACAACCTATACTATCCCACAGATTAACATACCTACAGATAAAGTAGCAAAAGATGGCATAGGATTTGATATTAACTCAGTAGCAGACTACCTTGGGATCCCCCCCACTGTATGTAGTGATTATACCGAAGGTGCAACCCCGTGCCACGTCAATGCTCTTCCTTTTAGAGCTTATGCAAAACTTTGTGAAGACTGGTTTAGAGCAGAACAGCTTACAGACCCTCTTGTTATCTATACTGGCGATAATACAGTAAACGGACAGAAGATATCAGATTCCGACCCCTACGGTAGAGATTGTTACCTTGGTGGACAGCCCTTTATAGTATGCAAGAATAGCGATTATTTTACAGCCTGTCTTCCCGCCCCTCAGAGCGGACCTAATGTCCTTATCCCTACAGATGGCCTCGCTCCCGTATTACCCACAGATACCGATTATTTTACAGCCTACAGTGATTATTTTGTTGGAGCTTCTACCATTGCCCATCAGAGTTACGTTGGTACTTCTGGAACACGTACACTTAGTACCTCTACCTCAGATACTAACAGCCGCGTAGCCGCAAAGCTCAGTAATGCAGATACTGACAGAGACATAGTCCTTACTAACCTTGCCGCCGACCTCGACGGTGCCGGAATGAGTATAGCTAAGCTTCGTACCGCATTTCAGATTCAGCGATTTTATGAGAAGTGTGCCCGTGGTGGTAGACGTTACATAGAGCAGATTAAGAGTCATTTCAACGTTAATAGTCCCGATGCCCGTATGCAAAGGAGTGAATACCTTGGCGGTTCCCGAATTCCTATACATATTAGTGAGATTGTTTGTAGCGACAGTAGTGATATTGGTAAGCTTGGTAGCACAAGCCGTACAAATGGATACTGACAGTGGCTTCGTTAAGAGTTTCACAGAACACGGCTATTTGCTTGGCGTGTGTTGTGTGCGCTACGACCATAGTTATTCCGAAGCGTTACCTAAGCATTTTATTAAAAAGTCTATGTTTGATTACTATTTCCCTGTTTTTGCTAACATCTCTGAACAGCCTGTATATAGTGTAGAAGCATATGCACCTGTTGCAGACGTAAGTCTCGTTCCCGACCTTACTCGTGATGATCTTTCTAAATTTTTGGTATTTGGATACAATGAAGCATGGGCAGATTACCGCCACGCTATCAATCACGTGTCAGGACACCTTAGACCTAATGTACCGCATGGACTTGGTTCTTGGAGCTTCGCAGACAACTATAATACAGCCCCGCCTGTGCTTTCTGAAGCATGGCTGTGTGAAGACCCTGCCAATGTAGACGATTGTCTTACCGTCTCCGTAGATACCGCTGGTTTCCAGTTTTGGGCAGACTTTTACATGGATGAAACTATTACTCGTTGTATGCCGATGCATTCAATCCCAGGACTTGTAGACCACAACTAATTCCCTTTTTGGTAAAAATTAATAGATAAAGCGAATGCGGCCAGTGATTTCTATTCGAAGTTACTGGCCACGTTCAGAAAGGAGTAAAATAGATGTCAGAACAAGACTTTAACTTTAGTAATGAGAGTTATTTCGGAGATATACCCTCGATGACACCAATGAGTGCCCTTGAGCAGATGCGATTTCAAGAATATATGAGTAACACCGCTCACCAGCGTGAAGTAGCAGACCTTAAAGCCGCAGGTCTTAACCCTGTTCTTAGTGCCAATACAAGCGGAGCGTCTTCGCCTAATGGTGCTAATGATAATATGTTAGACGGCTTAATTTCAGCCGCCAGCGTAGGCGGAGCTTCAGGTTATACCTCTACGGATACAGGTAATTGGGTTTCAAATATCATGCAAGCACTTGGTTTTAAGCCCTCTCAGGCAAAGGCTACAGGTAATCTCATTAACGGTGTAGCCGATTACGTACGAGGAGAAACAGGAGAACAGAATATTCTTAATTGGGCTGCTAATAAGTTGACCGACGGTCTTAAATCTTTAGGTTCTCGTTTCACGGATAGTGTAGGACTCTCGAAACTTTTGTTTGGTAGAGGAGACAGAATTGGAACAGGAACAGGAGCAGGAACAGCTGGATTACAGGAACTCGCCGCCAGCCTTGGATTCTCAGGTGATGAGAACAGTGCCTATAAGATTAACACATGGCAGAGCAGTGATCCTAATGATCATGTAGGAGATGTTGTATTACAGGACACCCGACAGAGCATAGCAGATGGTCTTAGAAACTTTTTGAAAATCGGACAGCATGAAGATGCCGCCAATGCCAATGGCATTGTTGGTGAATTTCTCAGATGGATTGAAGACGATGATAATTGGACTATAAAAGTGATACCAACATCTTACGGAACTAACAGTGGACAGACTGTTAGTTCAGGTAGTTATTACGAGAAAACAGGAACAAGCGGACCTTCCGTGACTGTGAAAAATCAGAGTATAGCTGACCAGTTACTTAATGTGAGCGCAATTTGGCGCGTGTGCGTATGAAATTCTATTTTCCATGCGCGCGGCGTGAAATAAGCGAACGAAAGCATTGGTCAGCAAAAGAGCCGCCGCAATACCTAGGCGGCTCTTTGCTTTGAGCGACAGCGAAAAGCAGACCCGTCCTTACTACATACTTGACTTTAGTAAGGACGAATGACACCCCCCCCCGACTTACTACCCGAGAGCGTAGCGGTTCGGCTTAATATCCCGACTGAAAGGAGGTATTGATTTATTTCTTACAAGCGTTATAATTATATTGCTCAAGCTAATACTTAATTGAAAGGAGTTTCATAGATGGCTTGTTTTCACCCTATGATTGGATACAAAGGTGGTATAAACCCCGAAACAGGTAAAAACAGAATACACGTTTATGCTTGGAATGATAAAATGGCAGAGGAATTGAAGAATAATTCAGATTACTTTCCTCTGCCTTGTGGTAAATGTGTAGGCTGTAGACAGGATTACGCAAGAAAATGGACAGACCGCATGATTATGGAAATGGAAGATACAGAGCATGCATGGTTTGTTACTCTTACGTATGATAATGATTATGTGCCTAAAGTACCAGTACTTGACGAAAAAACCGGAGAGATTAAATCATGGACTCTTACTACAAGAATGGACGATGCATCTAAGTTTATGAAGCATGTTAGAAAAAGATTCCCCTGCTACGATTAAGCCCGTACACTATGAAAGAGCTGCTATAGATTCAGATTATCCGATTCCCGGTATTAGATTCTTTGTAGCTTCTGAGTATGGTAGTAAGACCCTCCGTCCACATATGCACCTGATTATTTTTAATCTTAAACTCGACGAAGAACAGCTAGTATTTCTTAAGAAGGATAATAAAGGACATATTTATTACGATTGTCCCGAATTAAAAAAATGCTGGAGTAATTATGTAGGACAGGATAAACACGGTAAACCTATATTCGACCCTATAGGTAATATAATGCTATCTCCTGTGAATAATAATACGATTAACTACGTTGCACAGTATACCAATAAAAAAGCATCACAGGACTTAGCAAAGTACGTAGAAGAATTTCACCTTGAACCACCGAAAACACGTTGTTCTAGAAAACCAGGTCTTGGTTGGTATTGGTATTATAAGCATATAGACCGAAGTTAAGGATTATACAGGATTCTTTGTAGGTACAGAAGATGGCTCTCGTGAGATTAATTTCCCCGATTATTTTTATAGATTACTCTCTAAAACCGATGAGGATTTCGTAGAACGCAAGAAAGCAGATAAGGCTATAGTTGGTAGCCTAGCATTCAAACGTATCACAGAAAGCATACAGAAGCCTTACAGCGAATATATGAGAGATAAGGAACTTAATTTAAGAGATGCCCTTAAACGTAAACAGGCTAATTTTACAAGAGACAAAATATAGCTTGACAAATAGTACAAAATGTGCTATATAATACTCAAGGACGATAGTATTTTTTCCAAATATAACATATGAAAGGAGGACTCTATACATCTTCCGTCCTTATCATAAATGCATGAAAGGAGTGATACCCCATAAACAAATCTACAGACCGTAGTGTATTCAAAAGAACAGCACTAAAAACCCGAGAGATTAACACAGGTGTCTACATTAAACGAGGAGGAATACATTTCTAATGACACAACATGTATATGCAGTTAAAGACAATCTTAATGGATTTATTTCACTTACTCTGGATGACAATGACCAGACAGCAGTCAGGAATTTTGCCTTCGCAATTCTCAATCCCGACTCCATTATGGGATTTAAGCCCGATGACTTTGATTTGTACCACATGGGAACGTTTGATTTAGAGACAGGATGTTTTACACAAGATAAAATGCCCTCCCTCGTAGTCAGAGGTTCTAACATTGCCAGTGCTTATGCAAGAAAGGACAACGATGAGTAAAAAGTATAATAAGAAACAAAAAATTTGTGTTAACTGTTATTGGTACGACCCCCGTTATCGTGATGGTTGGTGCAATTATAACTCTATAGAGTGTGAAAAAACCGACTATTGTGATTGTTACGATTTTAAGATATGAAAGGAGTGATTCAATACGTATTGTAAAGAATGTAAGTATTACATAGCCGATAAATATTATTGCAAGATGCATAATAAAGAAGACATAAAGCCCGATATGCAAGCTTGTGGTGAATTTGTAGCTATTAAACCCGAATGGAAACCTAGACAGTCACGTGCAGGTAATCCTTGGAAAATTCGTTATTCATATGCAATTACTGATAAAGGTATAGAGGTAGTAGCCGCAGGTAAGTTTAATCTACAGGACTATATACAGAGCTTCGCAGATAGTGTAAATATAAACTCCATTATAGCCCGTTATAAAGCCGGTGATCTTAATGCTTTAGTTGAAGGTGGAGAAGGAATGTATGGTAATTTCGTAGGTGTTCCTACAAGTATGAATGAGGTGATTAAAACTGTTCAGAGCTTTGAAAGAATCTATAACTCGCTTGCGGACGATGTTAGAGCAAACTTCTCCGATTTTGGCGATTTTATTGGAAGTAATAGTTCTCTTGACGCTGATAGTATTAAGAATATTAGAAGCAAAAGGGATACTCCCGGCACTGAATCTGTTCAGTCCAAGTGATGTTTTAGAATGTACGAAGTTATTACATTAGACGTTGTAGTCCTCGCCGTTATAATATGGACTATCATATTTTGTAGTTCTGACCGACATAGGCAACAGACACTGAAAGGAGTGATTTATATACCTTACAATAGCGTAACTTACAGACCCTCACAGGCAGATATAGACACTAACCGTTCACAGTTTAAGATGAACCATAGTCATAAATTCAGTGGTAAAGTTGGTGATCTTATCCCGTTTCTTTGCCAGGAAATAATCCCTGGTGATACTGTTAAACTCAATACCTCTAAAGTTCTTCGATTTACACCATTTATTAACCCTATTATGGATAATGCTTGGCTTGACACTTATTACTTTTTCGTTCCTAACCGTCTCGTTTGGGATCATTGGACTAATTTTATGGGTGAGCGAAGTAGCATGGATGCCTCAGACAACCTATACTATCCCACAGATTAACATACCTACAGATAAAGTAGCAAAAGATGGCATAGGATTTGATATTAACTCAGTAGCAGACTACCTTGGGATCCCCCCCACTGTATGTAGTGATTATACCGAAGGTGCAACCCCGTGCCACGTCAATGCTCTTCCTTTTAGAGCTTATGCAAAACTTTGTGAAGACTGGTTTAGAGCAGAACAGCTTACAGACCCTCTTGTTATCTATACTGGCGATAATACAGTAAACGGACAGAAGATATCAGATTCCGACCCCTACGGTAGAGATTGTTACCTTGGTGGACAGCCCTTTATAGTATGCAAGAATAGCGATTATTTTACAGCCTGTCTTCCCGCCCCTCAGAGCGGACCTAATGTC